ACATACAACATAAAAACATAAAAACCAATTCTAACAAAAAGAAAAGCATAAAAAAACGTACCAAATGGACTCTGCTGCGGATACCCGTAATAGCATGTATCCACCTTCGGAACAACCATCTTATCCTGCTTTTTTACTTTCCGAATCACGTTATGCAATGCTTGGTCTGTCATAAAAATGACAGCGTACTCCCCATCTGAAAAGACACACATTTAACCACCCACAAATAAAATTAAATACCTTCTATCCATTGCTCTATCCTCCATGTTTTCTTCAGAAAATCTTGTTCCCATCTTGCTTGTTGGCCTTCATAACATTCCCTGTGCTTACTCTCAAGAAATATAAAAAAATCATCCAACGTATCCTCCACAACCACTAGCTTTAGATGGATGAAGCTATCAGGTCCATGGTTGCCAATACCAACCCAATAGAATTGCTTCTTGTTGTCATTTAAAAAGGCTTGAAATGCCTCTGCTTCATGAATCTGATGAGGCTGACGTTTCGGAGGTCCAAACCTTGCACCAGCTGGCAACCGGAACTTCAAAGCTTGCATACGTGCAGGAACGCGGAAATTTGAGGGGAGAATGTCTTTGAGTGTGAACTCGAACACCGTGTCCTTCTCGCGATCATGAAAAAGCTTACCCATGTATATCATGAAGACAATGCACATGAGGTCTGATACCTCCTTAACCTTGGGATTAGAATCCAGTATAGGAGGCCATAAATGTCGCAGCTCCGCCACATGTAGGTTCTCGACAAGATGGTATATAAGGAGTGGAGAGAACATGATGGAAAAAGCGCGCATTCCATTCTTTGTGTCTTCCTGTTTCGATAATTTTACCTGCTTATGGGGAGGCGGCTCCTCCTGTAAATTAACCCCACATAAGCACTCACATAAACTTCTGAAATACCAGAAAAGTACCTCGTTGCGTAAGAGTCCAACTAAACCGCAAGACTCTAAAAATCCCCACTTATCACTGTAAATGCCTGGCCATACTAGGTCGTCCCGATTGATAAGGGTCCCCAGCAGCGCAACATAAAGAGCTCGTAGCACTAACAAATAGTTGCTGTCATGAAGGTAGTGAAGATAATAACTGCCCTTAATACGTTTCCACGCATTCGTTATTGTTTTGCACAGATCGGCTTGGGTGAGATCTTGATCCACCTGTAACAAACATAAAAAAACTTCTCATCACATCAAGAAAAAAGACAAAAAAGAGCCGAACAAACCTTCTCGTAGAACTTCAAAGCTTCGAGATGAGGGTGCTCGGGCATCAACCCTCTCAACAGGTGATCAAGCATCCTAGGATTACCTCCTGCTAACTTTATCAGCTTCCTTAGTCCGTCCTTCAACTCAAATGGTTTCTCCATGTCGAGAGTATCTCCTAGTCTTGAAAAGAAGATTTTCGTTATATGTTCCACTTCCTCCTCTTTCAAAGGCCTGATAGGGATAAAAATACTCGTAGCATTCTCCGTAGACGTGTAACGCATTGTGGCCCCAGAAAATCGGGTCGTTGCTGCTGTAAGTACAGGAAACGTCAAGCCACCTCGGTTACCTTTGATATGTTGAACGTAGGCCGAGAAAGCTTCATGAATCCAGGACGATGCAGCTGGGCGACCTCGCTGAGGTCGAGCCTTATTGACTTCATCAAAAAACCAAGATAGGAAAATTCGCTTGTCGGCAGGAACCTTAAGACCAGTTCGAATGAAGTCGACCACATCTCCGAAAGTCAGCACATTCCTCAGGCCCGGAAATATGCCATCCAACTCCTTGAGAAAATCACCATATGCAGTCGTATTCATTGGACAAAGTGCTGCATGCAAGGACCGAAGGGCCAAAACCTGTGCGCCTTCCAGGCCGTTCTCAAGCAGAAGTGCACCCCCAGTCCTTGTCGTCTCAAGGGAATGATACATTCGAAGGTGTTTCCCGGTCTCCAACACATTATTCACCATTTCCTTGAACTGAGTGACAAGCCTACCAGAACCAAGCTGGTCCTCGAGAATGGCATCTATAGCCCCTGTTTCTGTGCCCCTCAACCACGCTTCTCTGAGGAGAGCTGAAAGGCATGACCCGACAGTTGTTTTACCTGCGCCAGGAAATCCGATGACCATCAACATGAACTCTTTTCGTTCAATATCCGAGGCACTGGCCGTCGTGTTCATAAAAGTTGCAAAGACCCGTGCAGCGGCTGCCATAAGATGCTGAATCGTCTCGTCCCTTCCGACCAAAGTAAAATAATCTCCCAAGTCCGCATGTAAATACGGCTGCGCACCGTTGTCCACAAGAGGCAATTTGCAGCCTGGCACCCTCCTCGCCGGCATCCCGCGAAGAAACCTTGCATCCTCCAGTTGTTTTGTGTATACATCCAGCAACCTCGACACTACAACAACACAAATGTGTCAGTAGTAGAAATAGCCACAGTACACCAACACATTAAACACCAAAGCATAACCCCGTACGTACGAAGAGCCGCAGATGCAGAAAAATCCAGGCAACACGTTCTACAAGCTACACAGCAAAAAAAACACACCGCACCAACAAAGGCAACAGCCGAAGGGCTTCACAAACACACAGAGACCAGGCACTAGCACCACGACAAGTAAACGCCAAGTTCCAGCCAAGAAGTGGTTTTGCTCAGCAATTGCTTACCTGGCGCAGCTTGAAGGGTTATCGGCAGGGTCGCTGAAACAGAAATATAAACTTGTCAGTACTCGGCATAGCCAGGGGGCAAGAGGCGCGACGAGGCAAAAAAAGGGCGAAACGAGAAGCACTCCTAAATAACGCACAGCCCAGAAAGAACACAGATCCAAAGACCACAAAGTTGCGAAAACCACACCAGGCCGGCAGATCCAGGCAACGCTACTTACGTGTAGGAGCCTTCGTTGCCCGAATAGTATGAGAAGATCCAGGCACATATGTAGACCTGCTCAGGCCGTCTTCCCCTGCCTGTAGACGTCTCCACCTGACCCTGCCTTGCTCATAGCGCTTCACACTGAT